AAGACGGGATACGAGATTCGCCCTTGTTCCGTGGGCTCGGGGATGTGTTTTAGAGACAGCCCCCTCATCCACCTCACCCGTTCCATCCCTCGCCTATTCCCCGCCCGCCATGGCGAGCTCATGCTCCCTTCCCTCCATCATTTTGGCCTCATGCGCGCGCCCACAATCATGGATCATGGCACTCCGCGTGGCCCTTTTTCCAGCCGCACCAGGAACACCATACTGAAGGGGCAACAGCTGCTACAGACCAAGTCCCTGACGCTGGCGCCAGTGCACTTCGCTCTGCAAACGCAGTATTGTTCATTGGAAATGTAGGTTTCAATGTCAGTGAGAAGACAATTAGAGATGTATTCGCTGCAAAGGGGTTCCTTGTTGATGTCCACTTGCCTTTGGACGCCGAAACAAGGAAACATGCAGGCTTTGGCTACCTACACTTCCCTTCGATTCACGCGGCAAGGGCGGCATTGGATGCCTTGCAAGGAACTCACATCGACGGTCACTCTATCAATCTGGAACTAAGCGACCATTCGCCGATTACGTCCCTCCATCCTGGCCAGCTCCCAGAGTGGAGCCACGCTCGTAGGCCGTCGGAGCTGCATAGCTCGGTGAATCCATCTTTGGGAACAAAGCCTGAGCGGTGTGAGATTGGACAAGATGATGAGAACGAGGAGTCTATTGCAGCTAAGGAGAAACGACCGGTTCCTCTGAGTGTGGCCGATTTATGCTCAGGCGACAAAGGCACAGATCAAGAGCCAAAAGGAAACAAAGTTCTGATCACTACGCCTGACGATTTCCCTCATCTCACTCGAGACTTAGAGCAAAGCCGCTTTCCTCCCATGTCTCAAGTAGATGCTCATGTTCTAACCCACCGGCGTCGAGACCCAAACACACCAATATGGGGTGCCTCCGCGCCCGAGCGTCATGGGAACCATGGGAATGACGTCGCTGGCAGATCGTATCAACTGCAAAGCACCCCAGGCTCGTTTCCTGACGATGATAGCGATGAGACGCGCTCAGGTCCATCCCTAGAGCCAGCTCAAATCTCAGGCACAGGTCATGATGATCGCTGTAAGCCTCGTCGGTCAAAGAGTATGAAATACCTGAATCGCAACGGGGATAGAAGCCCCTCGAGAGCCTTGAGACGGCGGGCAACTGAGCGACACTCTCTACGCCATGGTTCGCAGAACAGTTTTGGTGGATTTTACGATGAGGGATGCGCATACGACAACTACTCCAATACTTTCGGGCACTCTCGTCCTCGGAGCCAGCCCTCATCGCAGGAAGAAATCTCAATCCCAGATGAGAACGAACAACAGCCTGACCCAAGACAGAGTGCTATTGATGACTGCGTGGTTAGTCTGATCGGTCTAGGATACGAAAATACACTGGAAGGTGGTATTCAACGGATTGCTGTATATGCGGCCGCAGCGGACGGCAAGATATCGGACGCCATTGAGATGATTGAGGAAGAACGCAAGGCGTACGAACAGCAAGGTCTTTGAAAAAGAATCCTTCATTCATTTTCTCTAGCCACTCCTCTCACCTCATGGTCTAGTTGCTTTTGATATAACTTTGTGCTACTACGCTCTTTTGGGTTAGCATGCCATGTGCGATTATGGCTACTATAATGCCGTACAGGGATACTTTCCTTCAGTAATATCTTCCAATATAAGTGAAACGTGAAATAGTTCAATTATTTGTTCTTTCATTTCAAACAAGCAAAAACAAACGTAGGGCTTGCACTGACGACCTCGGCGACTGAGAGATTCTGCCGTGCGGAAACAGCAGCACTCGGTCCGAGCCGAATTGAGCGGAGAAGACACAGTCACAGCAACACCAGCATCATCACCACACAACTTTTCGTCCAGTATAGTCAGAGCTATGCGGACATGGCAGCGGACCTTTGCCACGTCTGTTGCCAGACTGAATAGTAATGCAGCAGGAGGACGCAGCGGTACCACTCTCCTGCGCTGCTCGGAAGTCCTGCAGAAGAGTCAGGCTGGAAGCAGCAGTTACGAGAATCAAGAAATCAAGATCAACGGTTTCGTTCGCTCGGTTCGGAAGCAGAAACGCTTCGCGTTCGCAGAGATTACCGATGGGTCGACTATTGAGCCCTTACAGGCGTTCCTGAAGCCGGCGCAGGCGGCCGAGTACGTTTGAGTCTCGCGACAACGGCCTGGATATGGCGGCTTGAGATGAGTGCTGATGGGTGTTGTAGATTGTCTACGGGAACGGCCGTTGAGATATCCGGGCTATGGAAGGCTTGTCCGCCCGGTAAAGAGCAGAGCCATGAACTTCAAACGACTGAGGTGAAGATTGTGGGTCAAGCAGATCCAGAGGTACGTTGCCCCGATCAGATGAGAAACTACAAGGGTAAAATCTGACTGTTCGTCATTATTCTCCAGACATATCCTATACAAAAGAAATATCACACTCCAGACTTCCTCCGGTCGATCCCCCACCTTCGTCTCCGGACACCCTTCAACTCCGTCCTCTCGCGGTTTCGTTCTGAATGCCTATACCAGCTGGGCAATGTCTTTCGCGACGCGCCGAATGGCGGCTATGTGCAAGTCCAACCGCCTTTGATTACATCGTCGGACTGCGAGGGAGCTGGGGAGACATTTACGGTGTTACCGCGCGAGGCGATCATGGACTCCAAGTCGGAGGGCAACCATTTTTTCCGCGCTCCCAAGTACCTGACCGTCTCGTCGCAGCTCCATCTCGAGGCCTACGCAGCTGAGCTGGGAAATGTATGGGCTATCTCGCCGACGTTCCGCGCGGAGAAGAGCGACACGCCACGCCATCTTAGCGAGTTCTACATGCTAGAAGCGGAGATGAATTTCATGTACGATCTCGACTCGCTGACGGATGCGGTGGAATATATTGTCCGCGATCTCACTCGCCGGTTATACGAGTCGCGGGTTGGCCAAGAGATCCTGTCCGCCAAGCGGTCGGGCGAGACTGGCCCAGACGATCACGGGGATGGAAACCTACGACAGCGATGGGCTGATCTTATGGACGGGCCCAGGTGGCGACGAATCACCTATACGCAGGCGATGGAGACGCTCGAGGCGGCGGTCGCTCGGGGAGATGTCTCGTTCGAGTATGCTCCCACGTGGACCGGAGGCCTCCAACTCGAGCACGAGAAGTACGTTGTCGACGTGATCAACCAGGGTCAGCCGGTATTTGTGACGGATTATCCCAAGGCCATCAAACCGTTCTACATGGCGCCGTCCCGGCTGGCCCCAGGCAAGAAAGAGGACGTCCACGCGCCCGGCGAAACAGTCGCCTGCTTCGATCTTCTCCTGCCGGAGGTCAGCGAAGTCGCGGGAGGATCACTCCGCGAACACCGCCTGCCCAACATTATCCAGAACATGCGCGATCACGGCTTGATCAAGGAGCGACTAGGTTCTGGCTCTGCTGGTGCCGGAGAGACGTCTACGTCCGAGACGGCCCCTGAGGAGCCGTTATACCCTTATCTCCAGCCGCATGAGGACTTGGGACATCTGCAGTGGTACGCCGACCTTCGACGGTGGGGGAGCGCACCGCATGGGGGATTTGGGCTCGGATTTGACCGGCTTTTGAGTTATCTAGCTGGAGTTTCGAGTGTACGGGATGTGGTGGCTTTCCCTCGATACTTTGGCCGGGCTGATTGTTAGCCTTTGCCGTAGTAAATGTACAACAGTTAATTTAGCATCATGAATGAATAGACTACTCTCCATCCTGACACCACGAAAAGCGACACAACACTTGAGCATCGAACCTTGGAGCCTGCGGTAATCACAGGACTCCGTAATTCATACAAAGCCACAATATCAGGCCCCCCAGCCCCGGTCCAAAATCTTGTCAGTGCCCAGTCACCAGATAAAACAAGATTACAAAAAACTAAGCACTAAACCTACGAACCAACGCCAACCAACGCCCCCAACCAAAACCATTACCCAAGAAATAAAGATGAATCAACTTTAGGTTCGCACAGAGCCCAAAACGACTCTATCGACGAAACGCCATCTCGCCTAATCGACGCCATCGCGGACATTTTGACTCGTATCCACGCCAATGGGTCGCGCGCGGGGGGGAATCCGACCGTCCAATCCCGGAGCTGTCGTATGTCGTCGAGAGAACCAGACAAGGGGGCTCGGTGAGATAAGTGAGACTGAGTCCTCTTTCTTTTTTGCTTTTTTCCCCTAGGAAAGATATCTGGCATGGACATGGACATGGTTTAGATGGACACTGTGTAGAGGTGCGAGCTCGGGGATGAGGGATGACATGCGCCACTTAACCTAAATCCACATGGTTGTTGTTGTTCTTATCATTCGTTTGGTTGCGGGAGGACCATCCGTATTGGAGGCTGCTCCGTAAGGAGGGAATTTACCCGACGAGAGGTAGATAGAGAGAGAGAGGTTGGTTCGAGGAGGAGTGAAATTCTGAATCCTTGCTGCATATGACTGATGGTATGAGGCTATCTGTCCGTACTCCGAGCCATGCTAGGATGAGTCCGTCCGTCATCTGTCGTCCGTCGTTGATTGTTCCAGACCGAAAGTCCGGGATATATTTCCTGCTGTTTAAGTGCTCAGTTGTCTCTAGTATCCCCGCATTATTGAGCAATATGCTTCCAGAATTCGTGATGTGTAGGTAGGCGAGAGTCAGAAGGATAAGAGGTACAGAGTATTACTGCCACAGGTCCACAACTCCCTGAGACTTCGTATTCCATGGTCTGTATACTCTGTAGTTAGGACTAGATAATCAAGACAGACACTATCTTGATGCTAAGGTCCACGTGGCCAGTCTGGGGTGCTTTGACTGAGGCAATATTTTTATTTAGGTGATTTTGAGTCTAGTAACAACTTGTAAGGTAGCAACTAGTGAGAATTTGTTCTAACTTCTCAGCCAAGCCAGACTGGTTCATGGCAAGTCCTTGGCAAAGTTGGCAGGCGTGGAGAATATTGATCTGATCCAGAAGTCTCCGATAATATATTAGAGTACAGGGATTAGAGTCAAAGAGGAAAAAGTACGCGACTGATTGAAGTCTGTATCTGCCACAAGGTTATGCCCCAGCAGTGATACTGATTCAGTACGGAGTCGAAGTACCTAGTACCTGTAGTGTACCTGTAGTATCACTGACCAAATCCTTCGAGAGTAACTATGTGGTCAATTTCGCTTATGTTATAACGGCGGAATGATAGGTGATCAAGATAACTGAGGCTGTGTCCTAATGCTTTTAAAACTTCCAACAGTGATACAAAGGTTTCAGAGTCTGAGCCTGAACCATCCAGGTTGTCAACAGCCCGGCATACCCGGAAGAGGAAGATCGGAGGTGACGGAGCTGAAGGAAGTCCGAGAACAAGCGTCTAGACGGACCCTCGCTAGAGTTCGCTACCGAGGCATGGATAGACTCCACCATTCGAACTTTTCTTTTCCATATGATTTTGTTCTGGAGTACTAAGTTCATGTCTATTATTCACAGGAAATGATGAACTAAGAACAATATTGACATTTACTCAATACTTACAGAAAGCAAATACTGAATACTGAATACTGATGGTAATACTACAGTATCACTAAGAGACGGGAGAAATGCCAAGTTGCCAACCTTACTGGTGTTAAGCATATGGAGCTCGGTCTGGCGCCCGGCAAAGTGATTCGTCAGCGCCCGACCTGCCCCGGCGGACTAATGTATTGCCTCGTATTGTAGTCGCAAATACGATGGACGATGGGTCTGATTGTCCGACTCATCCGGATTTTTCTTTTTCTCTATTTTTTGCTTTCCTGCTTGGGAATCAATTAAAAAAAAAAAAAAAAAAAATTAACTCGTGGCCGATGAACAAAAACGGAACTAGTTTCCCAGCCTTGTTTCTCCACTATCCCCCCCCCTCTCCCACCTCTTCACTTCTCATCCCAATCCTGCCTCTCTATACACACTAACATCTGAATATGCATTTACCACTCTCTTTCTAACACACTATCACGCCCACCAACATCAAGCAAACACCTAGT